CGAAGAAGGAGTATACTTAAGTTTTAAAACACCTTCTAATTATGAGATTTTATAAGATGGTGTAAGTTCCATCCATGTAGCAGCGTACCTGTCCGTTTACACTGCTGCTCAGGAAATGTACGGCATAGTCCGCATCCATTGCAAAATTTAATGGACTCTATATGGTACATTTTTAAAGGTATAGAAGAATATGTGATTTTCTTTACGCGACACGCATGCACCTTGTAGACTGAAACCACTAAGCGATAATGCAACGACCGATCAAGTTCCGAATTATTCCACAATAAGAAAACTTTTTATACTCACTCACTGTATATCCCTTTCTTATCAAACCCTCGTTTATAAGCGGATCTGGATTCAGAAAATCAGAAATTTTCGGAATGTTCATGTAAAAAGGAAGTTCAACTCCAATTGAATATCAAGAAAAAATGAGTCAGCATCATTCGGACACGTTTCTGTTCGCCATCATCTCTACAGAGTCTTTATGAACATAAAATCGCACGATGTAAACGTCCACAAATGGAGGCTTCTTCAATAACCTATTTTAAGGGAAAACTTCAAGTCTACAATGCTCGCCTCCAGCTGGCGTTTCTAAGTCAGTGTCTCTGGATATCGTGTAGCCTTACCTAGGCAGTTGCCCTCACTGCAGATCTGTTGGTGTCTTTGATATCAGGTAGCGTTTTGTTCCAGCCAATTATGGCAAAGAGTTCTTCAAGTCGACACGCCGAAAATTCTGGTTTTTGTACTCCACTAACAACCAACGCATTGTGATGTGGAACTAATACCAGTGAATACGCATGTGTGACTTAATCTGATAGACGAGATAGAAGACCAGTCCTCTCTCTTGTCGTTCTCGTTCGCTGTCAATCTGACCAGCACGTCCCACATAATAAACAGCATCATCAACCGGCTGCTCTGATACAAACATAACCGCGAGTGGATAATCCTCCTGGCAAGTCAGCTGCTAAGCGAAATGAGGTTAGTCACGTCTTATGGCATTTAAGAAACATCAAGTATCCAACGTCACTCGCTGAAAATCCCAATATCTTTCCAACCAGATCTGGCGGACACTGCGTTGATAAAAGGCATTTCCAGGACAGCGGTCGGGTTGCTGACATACCCCTCAAACGGGTCGTCGACAGACATAATCTAACACTTTGCAAGAGTTTGTAATTCTGTCAGGCCACAAGTCCTAAATGCAGACTGCGCAACCCTCCATTAGTTCTTACTACTTCAAATGATGCAAACGTACGTAAGATAGTATGCCTCGGCCCGCATAGACTTGACACACTGTCCACGCGATCGTGTCCCCATCTTCATGATTGCTTCCTGGAACTCGTCTCTTCGCTTCTACTGGCTCAATGCGCCGAGAAGACCACGACTCTCACAGATCGTCCGCGTGACCTAGTGTCAAGATCCCGACGAGCGGCATGACAGAACATTACTTCGAAGCGGGTTTGTTGGACAAGGGCAAGTACGCGGTATTCGGGCTCTCACGGGGAAGACAAAACCGCCTGTGTATTCAATTTTCTTAATGAACAGTAAGCAGTAGGAGTCATAAGTTTACTTCGAGAGTAACTGGTGCCGCTCCCCGCACGGGCACGTCTTTGTTCGGCTAGATCCTCTGCATGACCCAGCTTCGAGCACTTAGTTTCATCAGTTGACCCCCAAACGTCCGCCTAGATACGCCGTTTCTAAATGTCAAGCTCAAAACTCTAAGCCGTACAATGAACTGTCGAACGCACAGACACAACTGAAGTACGTGCGCTATAACCCAAACAGCTAAAAACTTGCGCGAACTTTGGAAAGAGATAACAATGCGAAAAATATGAGAAACTGCAAGTCAGAGAGACGATTAGGCCATTTTCACAGACGCACGGAGACTCCTTCAATACGAGAACAATGGTACTATTAGTTTTGTCAGTAGGTCAGATGGACGTGGCAATTAACGGAGTATGCCGCTCTAAGCCAAGTAAGTAGGTGTGCTGTAGTAATAAGAGGAGCAGGCCCACACGTTTAGTCAT